TTGATTTGTATTGCTATCTAAATGCATTTATGATGTTTATACATTTAAATTATTACTGAGTTTATTCCATAGCGTAATACCACCATGTGTAATTGATTGTTCAAACACCGACATACTGCTTCCATAGCGGTGAAGATTGTTTTCATTTCGTTTGTTTCATTTGTTTGGCAGCAAATTCTTGTCAACTCTAAATATATAAATTAGACTAGATGCATTGTATAAATATCCTGTATTTTAAAGCGTTAATTTTATTTTTAAACAACGGTTTACACTTCTTCAATCCACTCGACAGATAGCTCGAACAACGTTTTTCAACTTATTTATTTTGTGTAATTTGTGTTATGATGCATAATTTCATGCTAAATTAAACTAATTGCTAGTTTATTTTGCTCTATGTTTCTGTCCAATGAGATTTGATATCACTGATTGAAGTGCTGGGTCGATTTTTGTAATACACCTAGAACAATCCCACCTGTTCCTTCTTCGTCATTCCCTGGTTTCGAAATAAAACTTACCTCTAAATTCACTCTCATGTATAATATGAAACCCGTTTACGGAGTGCTGAATTTTCCTTCCTCAAATTACTGTTTGAATCTTGAGTTTGGTAAAACTTTGCTCTCATATTCTCGCAATAAAAGCTCATGAACTACATAAATTTCAGGACGCTTGGTTGTGACGTTTTAACAACGTTAAGATCTGTAATGATCATGGCAGTTTGTTTGTGTCTAAATTAGGCAGGCCATGATCGGCTGCAATTACATGAGTTTGCACATAGATACAGATCACCTTGGGTGAATTTTACCAAAGTGATTTTAGAACAATCATTGTATTTGTTAGACATGATTTCTTTGGTATTGTTCAACCGCAGGGGGTGTTCTGTAAAAAGAATGTATTGATCAGCTTACAACAGCTTATGCATAAATAACTAGTAATCATTCAGTTTTCAGTCAATCCGTCCGTGTTTAAATGACTATTATTCAGTTAATTAAACAACTGCCAGACAACTGGAACGTTGACAATACAATCACAATAACTCCATAGACCAGCCACAGTAGAAAAACTTGACAACGAACACGATATTTTAGGTACATTAGAACGATTTAGAGTGTCTCACTTCCAACAGCGCCACCATTATAGACATAGTTGTTTATTATTCAGGTTGACGTACAGGCATTGTTAACGACACCGTGATGTATTTGGGTGGTCTGAATGTAAAGGTGTCGCTCTCAAACACATCACTATATGTGTTTCTTTCAGAATTGTCACAAGTAAACTTTGACACGGTGATAATATTATAAACAATTATGACCAACACGATATTTGTATTGTATTTATCTATTGTAGCACTTGTTGATGTTTTATTGAATTGCTTGTCAAATATCATCAACGAGTTGAGACATAACGTATTTGACTCAAATCAATCAAGGCATGTCTGAGAGATGAAATTGAGCGCAAAGACGTACAGTTAGAACCACACAAGTCCGATTGATTTTCATGAAGCTGATCATGATGATTATTTAAATGGTTTATTCTTGTATTTTATATATACTCAGTTGACGAAATTAATCAGTAATGTCGAATATGACAATGCCATGTGATGAAATTTACGAGACGTTTTATGTCACTTTACGGAGATGATGCTGATACCATTTAACATGGTAACAACATTTTAATACAAAATATATGTGGAAGAAGGTATATATCAATATATATACATCCGGTAATAGAAGAATTAACCACAACTGCATGAATATCGACAGCAATGTTTCGTAAGGTACAAGTACCTCACCCATCATGATCGTTATGTTTAATAGTTCACTGCACCAACGAGGATACATTATAAACTTAACATATTAAATAAAATTAAAGCGTTCAAGTGTTACATAATAGTGCTGTTGATCTGTGTCGACGTGATAATACAAGTTCATTTCATTTGTGGAGTGGTGGGGTCTAAAAATTATGATAATATATGTTCTTTCAAACAAAATATGCATCGTTTGCTGAAGCTGTTGTACGGGCGACCACGAGCAAGGATTGTCCATGTCATTCTATGCTCAATATTTTTTCCTTGGGTGACCAAACATGCTTACTCCGTTCTGTCGCAATGCCAAAGACCTGAAAGCGAAATGATGCAGTGTGGTTTCTGTACCTTGTTTTAAAGTTTCGCTAGTTTTTTTGTCAATCTAATCGCGTAACTCCCGATTGATACATGACGTTAGACTGCAAACACTTCCCGTCCAGTGGGCATTCCGTTTCTTTTCTCTGGCAATTGCCTAGCTTGTTATTTTTTGTGTTATCGGTCGTGGTGTTCTTATTGATCGCAAGTTGGCGTTTGTTGTTGTTTTTTTTCTCTTAATAGTACATGTTATATTTTTCATACAGCTATATCTGACTCTGATGTCATTTCTGTTGAAAGATTTCCTGAGATTATTGCCAGCCTAAAAGCACTTGTTGATTAAATCGATGAATTGATGAATATGTTACCGTATCCCTAAATTAAAATACATTGTATTGGTAATAACAACTTTTAATCTAAAAACAAACAGCCCTATTTGTAATGCTAACCCTAAATATAGGGGCTGTATTACATTTTGGGTTGATAGTTTACACTGATACAACATTTTCACTGTTAGTAATTTGTGGCGTAATATACGCCAGAAACATCGACCAAGTCTACATCATTAACGTCAAATTTAAATAGTGCTATCTTCACATCAGACAAAGCAGAATATGCGCGAAAAATATTTACCCGACCACTGAATTGATTGAATATTCGTTTTACAATCTGTATGTAACAATTGATCACTTGATCTTATATTAATATACAGAATACTGGGCTACAGGATGGACACGGTCGAGAAGAAGTTTGAACTCCTTATAGAGCAACTTTCAAAATGTCTTGAGAATAACACTGCGAAGTTAATTGATCAAATACATGCAGGTACATGCAAGGAATAATACAACTACAACAACATATATATATAATCAATTTACAGACATATTTGAGTCGCCTTAAAATAATGTTTGTATATCTTCGTGTAATCAGGTTTTATAAATGTTAATGTCATATTACAGTTTGTTTTATTGTTTTTTTTTCATCTAGATATTGGTATATGTGGTCTTTCAGAATCATTTGAAGGTGTCAGTTCAACAGACTTATTACACTTCCTGAAAGAAAAATGTCTGTTCCATCATGAGAATCTTCATCTTATGGACCATGTTTTCAAAGAGCTGAAACAAAAAAGAGCATCGAAATTATTGGATATTTTTAAGGAAACTCGGATAAAGTCTCCCATCATTCAATATTGGTCTGATCAGACTCGTAAGTACACAGATTACTCTATACATTAGTATGTGACGAAATTCCTGCAAAACTGTGTAACCTTTTTTAGCAATATATTTATGTATTTCCTTTAATATTAAATAGTGTTTTAATGTTTTTTGTTGTTATTAATAGTATTATTAATAATTTTACATCGGTATTTACAGTTTTTTGGTTATTTTCATGGATTATGGATCATTATATATCCACTCAATATGTTACTGTTTATTTTACTATTATCAAGTTAAAATTTATTCCTACTACACATTTGTGTCGAACAGTATGTTCTACCTAATATGTGTAATTTTAATCAATTCATATTCTGCATGTTCAGTAAATCCATATATATCCTAACCAAGTCTATTGCTGCGAAATGTTGCAGCGCTACTCACGTTGTTTGTTTTTTTCAATATCTTGTGTACGCGAAATATTGCCATATATCAATGTTGCACATCAATTGAAATTCATTATTTGACAATATTGTATGCCAATTTTTTCTTTAAGTGAAAGAATACGAATCATTCATGGTGCTTTTTCCAAACGGGAATCTGGATCCAACAATGCGCAATACATTGGAGAAACTCCGATGTTACGCTAGTGAGAAGACTTCCGCTCCTATAAGACATATATTAGTGACTGGGATTAAAATAAACCAGGGACTAACTGTGAAGTTGAATATACCAACAAGGTTCATAGATAAAGTAAATCCACCGTTTTCAGATCCTGATGAGTACTACAAGGAATGGGAATTAGAATGTGTTTACTTTTCCACCGGTGGGTAATTTAATTATTGCATATGACTTGTGTTTACCACCATAATACGATATTTTGGAGAGACATTCAGACGAACAATTTCAATAGCTTCGTTTTAGTCGTATCGGAGCTTGGAATGTTAGGAACAATGATAATACTGGAAAAAAAATGTTTTTGTCTTATTTAGTTTTTTTTTTATTATATTTCCTGTAAAGAAATGAACTCAATTATATTGAATATATTGCATGTGCATCTTTCCGTTGAGAAACCCAACAACATAGTACAATAGCTTTAAAAACAACCTTTGACCGAAATGAAATGATAACACTTTGAAGGTGGTCTGAAACTAGTGTCGAGGTCATTTTTATATTGATTTGTTTCGTTTTCAAACAATGATGCCAAAAAGGTCAACTGTTTCTCTTGACTAAGTTAAAAAAAAACAAATGTTCTCGAATCAGTTTGGAAAGGGTAAATCAGTTGATTTAAGGAAACGGGCGATTAATTGACATTTTGTTATAGTTTGATGACATGTACTCCTCCTGAATACCAGTAATAACAAATACAATGTATTATATGAGCTGTGACATACAAATCTATCAGTCCTTTGCTATTAGGAAGAACTATGACGTACCTACGTACATTTATATAGCTCGGTTTGTTTTCTACAGTTATTTTAACAACATGTAAAGTGATAATAAAAGTGTTTAACAAAACAGATTTTTACGTCCAGACATACAAAAATTTCCAAAAGCAGTTTTGATTAGAATGTTTTTTACAAGATTTTTTTCAATTCAATCTCAAATAAAATAGTCATGTGTTTAGGGTCATATTTTATTTTATGATCAAAGCTTGATGTGCCATGTGTGATTGTACAATGTGTATCACGTGCTAAATTATCTCAACTTATATCCATTTATAGATGAACAACACCCTGTAGAACAACGTCTGCTCTGAGGTGTGTAATCATTAATCTTATTTTCTGATTGTTCATGCTGTATATACGTTTATACATTGTGGTTAATTGTCTATTACAATCAGAACTGTGTATGATAATGAGACCTAATGGATTTAAAAATAGATTCCCATTGTCGGGCAGGCTAAATGATGAAATGATGCATGTCAAATGACATGAAATAACTTTTTCAATAAACAAAACCTGATCATGTGCACAATAGACGATAATATAAATACAAAGATGTCAGTCGAAACATAAACTGGCAGAATTTCATTGTCAAGTGCAAAACTATATGTGCAAAAGTGGTTACTATAATGAACTGTTTTTAATGTATTTCTAACACGTATATTTGTTTCGTCAGGTTGCACCACCGGATCAGACAATTGAGTGAGTAATAATTGATTTGTATCATTTTGTGAAACGCCATAAGACTGTCCGACATCGTTACAGTTACAATGATTTATATTAATATTTTATATTGCAGTCGACAACAAATTATTAACAGCGAAAATGAAAAAGTTTCTATTGTACACTTTACTGTTCTCATATCGATGAGTAATTTCCAAAACAAAACAAAATGTGTATTGAAACTAGTGTTTGCTGGCAAAGAAGGCCGCGAAGGAACGTCACCCTGGACTAAGGACAGTGATATGGAATCCGAAAGGTAAATGTCATTTACAGGTTTAAAATAAACATGTTTGTGTGTTACAATTGCAAGGTACTGTAGATGAATTAATTATTCATTGGGTATTAATTTCACTAGTTTCGCTGATAAGTAAAATTAGCTAAACTCATTGTTTTCCTGACAAATTCGTGAAATTAAAACAGAGTGAATACTAGTATGCTCAAAACATGAACATAGTGAAATTAAATATCAATGAAAAAAATGGTTTTACAGTAATTCATTCTATTAGTTGCAGTGATTAATGGTAGTGCTTAATTTGATTTGATTGACTGTTTTTTATTATGTAATTACTTCAAGCAGCAGCATTGAAGGGTATTATAGGCTGAATGGTACGATGAAGATTCCAAAGTTTTATCTTAAAAGGGGATGTCAGTATTACTATGCATTGAGAAACGGTGAATATAACGTTCGGGAATACATTCACACCACCACTTCTTATCATACAGTTGACAGGTTATTGAAATTCGAAGATCCTAGCGGTAAGTATTTACCAAGTTATTTTCGTTACTTTTTGCCCCACAATTAGCAGGGGAATGAAACGAGAATCAAACGGGAATTAATTTAATTAATCGTGATTATATGCAAATGACTAATATATTTATTCATTTTCTATTCTTAATGGTATTTGTTCATGAATTTGCAGTTACATTTACTTTGATATGTTATCACTGACTATTTAGATGAAATATGGATCTACAATGACGTAATTCATCCTGGAAAACTAGAGTGGTCACGGCAAAAAGAACATAATAATCACAAAGACACACGACGTGAGGACTGTGAACGAGCCATGTTAGCGATGCTTCCAAACTGGTCTGGGTTTGTTGTGAATGGGGAGGAAAACAAGGCTAACGAGGCTTTACAGACATTCAGAAGAGTGGTACAAGGAATCACCGAAACCAAATTGATGAAAAATGGCAAGATAAGCATCAAACCGGTTAAGAATATCCGTAAAGCAAATGTAAGAATTTGTAATTAATTTTAATATTGAAATGTATATTTCGTCACACGCTGTCAATTATGGTCGTCTAAATAATTTTATATTTGATTTCCACAGATAATAACAAAATGCTTGGAAGATAAACTTAACTATTTTGATGAAAGAAAAGAACTAGCACACTCCAAGCACGATATCATTTCTTCATTGGCTATTACTGTAATATGCAATGAGTACAATATTTTCGATAACAAGGAAGATTGGAGACGTATATTAGCTCGGACATTGTTTCACAGTTGTGAAATTCGTAATGATATTGACCAACATTTTGGCAAAATTAGGTTTGTCGTTTTGATTTTTGTTGTCATTCAAGTGTAAAATTCATGTTTTATGTAATGATGAAGAAAGTATATATACCAAAAAATCTTGAAACAAAAATTATTGATATCTTATGTAATTGACTTAGATGACATATACAAGTATAATAATAATGAATGTTTTATTGTCAGCGATGACGCCCGAGCAGCCATTGTCAAACTGTGTAATGATATGATCAAGAGAAAGGAAACAGAATGGGTGTTTACATTGCCGTTGCTGCACTGTGTAACATATAGTTCAAAGTCTACGTCTACTCTGCCAAGTATAAGTCAACTATCAGATCTACATTGGTGGGGATTATCCGGACTAGATGTTCAAATGTATATTGAAAAAAACTACAAGTATGTCACCAGAAATTATTATTATCTACTATATTACCATACAAATTCAGTAGTTGTGATAAACTGATAGTAAGATAGATGTTGTCTAGAGTTATTTCAATATGTTTTATCAGCAATAAACAATTGCCAATCAGGGATAGATTAACGTGATTGACGTGTTTATCATCATATTATTATATCATGGTTTTATGAGAAGAATATAATCAGCGTTATGCATTCTCATCTATTCGCCGTGAGTGCCTATCTCAAGCTGAACAACACATTGTAGCGTTACAAAACTACTTAATTTTCAACCAATCTTTGGATGTTAACCAATTTTATGCTAATCAAATTGAGTTTGGCATATTATCTAACTGTAATCAATCAGTCGGTTCCTATGTTCATCACGACGTATGTGCAGAGCGTGATTACTAATTCGTCGTGTTTTGCTTAGGACAATAATATCGCAAACTAAACTTGTTCGTATAGAAAGACATATACATAGCGGATACAATTCACCTAGAATAGAATGTTAATATTATATCATTGTAAATGGTCATCAATGTTATTATGTATTCAAGAATATGATGTTTTCTATTATTTAATTTGAACTTGAACTTATTTGAAAATTTGAACTATTACACTTTTCACTGATTACGGATATAGTTTTCCAATTGGTACAATGATATTACCAATATTTCAGTGATACCATAATGACGCATTTTGATGAAATTGCACAAGCTTTTGCAATGGATGACAGTCTACCCAGGAGTATTGCTTATCTCGAGAATTTGCGTGGTACATCCTTCTCCAAGCTTGTAAACGATGACAGATTTCCAACACACCTTGTCTACGTCAAGATCAATAACGACATCAAACAAAACAACGACACGCATAAAGAGCGTAAAATGGAGCCATCCTACAAGGTAAATGTATATACTGTACTCATTTGTTTCATTGAATAGTTCAATTAGATTTCAATGTATACACGTTAACATTTTATTTTTTGTAGTTCGATGTCCGAATCAAAAACATCCTTGGAATTTTAAAGCGCAGAAATATGGACTGCTTTTTAAGCGCTAATCTAACGTAAGTTAACTCAGGGTATTGTGCATCTGTTACAATATTTTGCGTGACATTCGATCTTATACTGGTATACTGGTGTAGACTGAACTGGAATATATATAACTAAGTAGTAAGCTGTTTTTGTTTTGTATAACGAAACAACAAACCACATTCTGAAATTATATTCGACAAAACAATTTCCAATTAGATATCAGTCAGAACTTGTACCAGAACTTGTATCATATTCACATCAACACTCAGTTCCTTAGTTTAGACCTTAGACACATATATACTGTTACCTTCACGTTTGTCCTTAATATGGGATCACAAAAGAACATGTGTGACAAGCTTTGAAGGTAATGGCGATTCCCTGGTATTTATTTTGTGAAATGCTCGTATATACACACATATTGACTCTTTCTTCACATATCTTAGCTGCCATCCTTTGTAGCGCAATACTTAGCATCAACACAAATTGTGACCTTCGTCCTTTGTTCCAAAAATGCATCCAGATGACGTGAGTCGCATGTAGAATAAGTATATATCCCTCTGCAGGTAAATAACAAACATTCATAAATTCATACTGCGACCTCGGCATTTTACCTCAAAATGTAGTAAGGTCACGCAGGGTATGTGTACGCCAGTTTGTATGTCATTTTTTTCCATATGCCATTAAAATTTGTATAACTTAAAACGAATACACATGAACGTGAAATATGAGCATGATCTCCGACCTTTTGTTCCTTGTTCCTCGCTCAAACACTCACGCGAAGATGTTACCCTAGTTGTACGCCACACATTGGATTACCTTTTAATAAAGTTTAATTCACTTTCAATATAATAGCGATATGAACTCGATTAAAACGCGTTCCTATATAAAGTTGCGTTTTAATTAGAGTTTAATTAAGCTCAATGACAATGCAATACAACGTAGAATTGCATTTTAATTAAGTTTAATTAAAAAGAATTTGAATATCCCGTGACTGAACATAGACATGTTTGCGAAGCTTAGGTTTTGTAACTGGCAAAGGTATGGTACAATAATTATTATATTAATATACCAAACCTCCCCTCTTTACTAAACCTAATCTTCGCAAACTTGACCTAAATTTGATTAAATATTAATATAAATCAGGAAAAATCTCCATGTGTGCGGCTCCACTTGTACAAAATGTTCCACTTTGTTGGCGTGTGTCCGGGCCACTGGCTCCACTTCTATACAAACAAACATAGACACGCGCGCATCATTTACATTAACACTATTTCTCAACATTAACAGTGCAAAGAGAATTGATCTATGAGTTTCTTTATTAGTGAACATAAAGATGATATACAAATAGCACATGCAATGTCGATTCAACTGATACATTATGTGGTGGATACAAGGTCACTTTCAAAGACGGACATCCTCTCTCTCGTTGACGCGGCGTCGACTAATTGTGATTTGATTGTCTGCCTACGAAAGTATCAACATGAGTGTTTTCAACCAGAACTTGAAGATATTGGAAATTGTGTGGATATGATTGGAAAGTATTTTGATTCTACTGAATCTGAATCACCAACAAATACTTCAGCTCGATGGCAGTCAGTGTTAAATGTGAGTAGTAACGTGAATACGTGATTTTAAGTTCACTGCGATTTCACACAGAAAGCGATATCTCGCTGTGAACCAATTACATGAAACAATCAATAAACATGCAATATTGAATAACTTATAACGAAAAAGTAATATAAACTCGCCGCATGATATTAAGTCAAACAGTTCAAATTTAATAGTAACACTATTTTATGGCCTCCTCGCTCTTGATAGTCCATGTAGTGAAACCTGAATAACGCGATACCATCGATTAAGATTTATCGTTCCTTCCGATATATCATACTAATTGACTTGATACTTGGTGAAGTAACATTTATACTATAATATATGAGGTTTATACGAGGATACCTCATAATAACTTTATTATACATCGTTTGCTTCCAAGGAGACATCATGAGAATGCCGAAATCCAAAATGTCCAATCAGCGAACTTCTTTGTGTGGAGTCAAATCCAAAACAGAATCAGCAAACTTCTTTGTGTGGAGTCCGGTCAAACCTTGGTGGCAGCCATGTTTGTTTTTATAATTAGATGACGCTTACGCGCGTAATCATTCTATATTCGGTATTCGCATTTCCTAATATGGTAGGATAAAAATACCCCGTAACATACCGCAAAATTGCGGCACACTGTACCTTATGGCGTCACAGTGACAGATGTATAATAATAGTTTATACTATAATGGTTCACTCATACTGATTCTGTAGATATATATACTAGTTTGAATGCATCTTGACATTATTATAATTTGATTACAGGACTGGAATAGACTAGTCGAAATTAAATTTGAGGTAAAGGAGATACATGATAGAGTAATAGAAGCTTTTTACAAAATGATACAAAATGTGAGTTGTATAACATGTCCATGTGTTATATACACACCCGATTTCCGTCATAATCGTGAAATAGAATTTAACATTTGATGAACTAGTTAAATATGTTGACAATAAATTCAAATTATAATTTCTCAACAGCTTCCTGTGAGAGATATGTTCGATATGTTTTTCTCTTGCGATCAATCTAAACGTGGACCACTGCAATCGAAAATAGCTTCCAGGGCAATTGAAATATATAAAGATAATAAAGAGGTACGTATTACGTATGGTTAGTACAAAACATACTATATTAGCATTGTCAAAGTCTGCGTGATCGGTGGTGTGTTATTCTTCGAGCTAAAAGTTATCGATCTTTATTTTGTCTTACACCAGCAACCATCAAAACAATAATAAGCAATTTCATAGTAGTGCGTGATGGAGCCATCGTATCAATGAGCGCATATCCATAAGCGGTGCAATTTGTAAAATCGTCCCAATCACACAGTTGTGTGTTTATACAAGATCTATAGATTTTAGTGTTTAATTTTGTTTTTCTGTGCCAAGTTGTCAGTTATTTGTGTGAAGATGCATTTCTTAAAAATACAAATACATAATGTGAAGCCTTGCGTCCTGTAAAGTTAACGTGTGCGACTGGTTAAACATTGAATATCAGTAATTTACTGTTCTGTTTCAACTACGAATAACATTATTTGTCTTCTAGATTGTTATTGAAATGTTCCCATCAAGCGAAGAATCGTCAATGACACATGGTCAGTTTTTCTCATGCGCTCTTGAGTTAGATGTACCAGTTGTTGGTAGAATTCCAGACAATAAATTAGTGAAACACCTTTTGACAAGCACAGTACTGTTGCATTATATACAACATAGTGATGGTAAGCACTTTATATATTTACAATCATAGATTTTTGTCATACTGCCAATGAACACTGTTTTCTCGCGTACCGCTAACCAGTTACTGATTTTTTTAAGTCCAGATTTGCGCTTGAATATTCAGAATATTATAAGTGGAGAAAGATCTAGTCGGTTTGTTCACTAGACAGCGTTTCTTTAAAAATAAATACCATCACGTTCAATATCACTTATTTGTGTTTGACTGTTTTTTTTTATATATAACTAACTAATATCAAGTACAAGCATTCCTCGCATTAGTTACAAATAAAATGTATTATTATACATATGTCACCGTATCATTTTGTCTAAAGCTTCTATTACTCTATCATCTATCTCCTTCACCACAAAATTAATTTCGACTAGTCTATTCCAGTCTTGTAATCGAATTATAATAATGTCGAGATGCATTCAAACTAATATATATAACTACAGAATCAGGATGAATGAACCATTATAGTATAAACTATTATTATACATCTGTATACACCGTAACGTCATAAGCTACAGCGTGCCGTAATTTTGAGGTATTTTACGGGGTATTTTCATCCTACCATATTAGGAAATGCGAATTCCAAATATGGAATGATTATGCGCGTAAGCGTCCTCTAAAAATAACAACAAACATGGCTGCCACCAGGGTTTGACAGGACTCCATACGAAGAAGTTCGCTTATTCTGTTCTAAACATTTTAGATTTCGGCATTCCCATGATGTATCCTTGGTAGGAAAAGATGTATGATAATAAGGTTATTGCGAAGATACCTCAAAGTATGCACTCAGACAGTATGCTGTCGCATCGACCTCTGCTTCGCGTCGGTCGATACTGCCGCTGTACTGTCTTTGTGAAAACTTTGAGGTATCTTCGTAATAACCTTATATTATTATATACTTGTCACTGTATTGTGATGAGGTACAGCGTGCCGTAATTGTGCGTTATGGTACAGTAATGTTGCATTTTACCATATTAGGAATTGCGCATTCCGAACGATTACACCATATCTAAGATGGCGGGCGCTTTTGAAAAGGCGGAAAAGTTTATCATTTTGGTCAGCTCCACGCTTTCTATATCAAGCGGTTGGTTCCAAAATATGTATAATATTAATGCTACATCAATCACTGTTTTGAGTCGGTCGATATTCTTGCTCTACGGTCATTGTGCATACTTGAGAATATCCTCGTAATAACCTCATATACAGTGATGATTGTTGCTGCGGTTATTGTTTATTTGCTGCAGTTGTTCATAAGCAAAGCTGATGAACAACAACTTGTGCTATTATAATATAAAAATAGTGAACTGTTAATATTTTGGATATCATTTCATGTACCATATCAGTTCAAAGCGTTTTCTGTAATAGATGGGATTTAATAGGATTTTATGTATTACAATGTAAATGATAAGTATTTAATTATTTTTCAGAAATACCCACGTTATATGAGTCAACACAGAAAATAGTGCAAGATGTAAAAAAAGTGATCAAGAACCATCATGAAGAATGCTTAGATGGGCAAATTAAAATAAATATTCTCCGACTAATCACTCAACATAAAAGTGAATGGTCCAAGTTAGTCCATTGGAGTGTGTCTGGTGAAGAATTTGTTGATCCTGATCAATATCTAAGCATTCGAAAACGGGAACTAGAAGCAGTTGATAATTTCCGCAAAAGTCTTAACGAATTTGACACATTCACACGGCGAATAAACTTTACAGGTAATACAAATGACTATCTAAAGACATACAATTGCATACCAATACAACGTAGTACATAATTTTTTGGGCAATTTTCTTGTTTTTTTTTTAATCATTTCGCAGGTAATACAAGTTGTCTAAGCAGTATTCGAAACGCATTAACCGGGGATTGTCTTGAGAATAGCAGTATTAAAGAAATAGTTAGTGTCCAGACAGTTAGTGCCGACATTGACTCATCTGAAGCAGCCGCCCCACTTTCATTCTCAGTGTCTTCCCCATTGTTCAATCCAAGTCGTATCTACGCCAATGATATCACTCCTCAAGTTGTAGAAATACTTGAAACAACCGGTAGCGCTACAGGGTTCCCACATGTATTCATAAGTATATGGGACATAATTAGCATTGATTATCCAAGCAATATTTTACTTGACGAATTTGCTGATCTATATTTAGGTGATATTAAAAATGCGCTCAAAAAGTTAAGAAATCAATTGAAATCGAGTGAAATAGTGTTAGGTGATGTGTGCAACTATTTCCAAGCAATCAAAAATGACGCAAATAAAATATTGAGTCAATTGTCCGCACTGCTCTCAAACGAAATATCTGACGAAAAACTAAAAATCATTCAACACAAGATTACGTACTGCTTCAAGATCTTAGATGTCAGAACTGCAGCGAAAACGGTCAGAAAATGCCAACAGGAACTTGCGTTGAGAGGTGAATTTCCAGGACTCAAAGAAATGTGTGCTGAGGTAAATGCGACTGTGTATCTGTTATCTTGTAATTAGATTGTCTAATAAGCATTAAAATTACAAAAACAAATTATACACCTACGCTTTCCCTAATACACAGCATGTATCAATTAAATTTCTATGTTTACATGTCGCCATATCTTAATACATAATCTGTTACTTCACATACAATTACCGAAAATACGGGGTTATGAATAAATATAACTGATATTTCTATTTTAGAAAAACGATTTGGATCAAATGGAGTTATCATTTTTAACTGACGACGTCATTGCATCCATCGATAAGCTTATGAAAGTTGACAGTAAAAAGTGTGAAGGTCTGCAAGAATTTCTGTCAAATGGGGAAGTAATACATTGGTCTAAACGAGTGACTCAAGGTAAGTATCTGTAAAATAACTGTATATCTGAAATATTTATTGGTAATGTCGAATATATTTTGACAGTCAAGATATGGTTGTATTCTGCTCGTTTACTTTTACATACATTATTGTTCCATTTTAAAACCTGGATACCGGGTACATAAACTGAGTTTGTATGACTCTATTAACTATTAGCGATAAATACACTTAATCACTGTCTTGATTTCAGCCTCAACTTATTGATGACATTTTACTATATTTTATTTGTTTATAACGATATTATATTTTCATAGGATCAATCGCTCAACTTCGTCAATTTATCAGCCTTATTTACCAGTGGGTTGACAAACATGAGATTCCGAAAGTTAGAACCTACCAATCCGCTGTAGAAGGATGTGTGCCGTTGATGAACGTTCCAGTCGACGCTGATATCCATCAATTGCTACAGTCATGTGAAGAATTATGGGAGTCTATTAAATTGAACCATACATTGCTGCAAAACCTAGTATGTTCTGAACATGTCATTTCAAACATTGCCTCAAACATATATACCGTAATCTAGTGACATAAATATTGTGAACAGTTCATTATTAAACCTTATTTCACTTTAAAGTTACATTTTGCAACGTTTCGTAATGTAGTGAAATTGTTATCAGTATTGTGAAAAATTTGGATAACTCAGTTTCTGGGTATAGAGAGCGCCTCCTATATTAGTAGTTTTGGTAATTTATTTCCCATCATCATTTGCGGCCCTGTCATCTTTGAGTTGGTTACTTTTTCTCCCATCCCTACCAAAGACCCATTTGTTTAGTTTATTTTCATTGTGTTTCTCTAACACTATTATACTTGTATTTAGTTAAGCCTGGGTGCTTTTGTATTATTTTTCTGCCAATATGTTCTAGTGTAGTTTGTTTCACTTATTTGTATTCAGTCTTAGAATAATGAAAAACTGCAGTGATGTTTACTATTGAGTACAAACACTCTAAACGAACATGTCTTGTTTTGACCTGCATTATAATATATCACTATCGAATGGATCCGTGATTACGTTTATGCATTCCAATAGAATCTAATATGTTACTATATTTGCAGAAAGACAGTAATGCAAATAGAAAATGGTTACAGGATCTCTGGGAAACACACGTCAAGCCAAGTGAGCAATGTAAGCGTGTAATAAAGTCCATAAATGAAAGAGGGGTGTATTACATTAAACAACTAGAAACACCCTCGAATCAAATATCTGATTATATTGAGCTGCAAATTCCAGCTGAAGTAGATGAAACGTATACATCTAAATCCAATACAAATACAGAAGTCGTTGCTGGAAACGATGTGAAATTAACATTGCGTGAGATAATGGATTATCGAGACCGAGTAGCTCTAATGATGGCTGACCAAGATAAAGACAACACCGATTTTGAGTGGTTTATTCAAGTAAGCATTAACATCAATTATAGTGTAATCTTTTATATCTATAAACTAAATATTCGATATAATTTGGTACATGATTGACTACAATAATCTTTTTTATTTTATTGAACTTCATTTCAATTATTTTGTTGACCTGATTATTGATAAAAAACAAAATTGTCTCATAACAGGTGCTAGATGAGTTGATGTCATTGGTTAGTAGTATTATCATTCTTCAAGACGATGGTAGTGACATATTTCAAACATTCGAAGCCGCGATTATTCATGAAAATGGAGTAAATAAGTTTGTCATACAAATGGCTGGTGAAAAATTCAAAGGTACGGGGGCAACAGATGCAGTATTAGCAGAGATGAATGAGTTCCTTAAGTCATGTATTAAAGAGTGGAAGATGAGATTAAAATGCGTACGCGATTCATTTTACAACTTAAACCACTTCACATCAAAACAACTGTGTTTTCTCCGAAAAGAGTTAAATAACATACTGGAGCCTAAAGATGTTATAGATGTCCCTGGAAAACGCATCATTTCAGAAAATGCCACTGAAAGCAAGATTCCCCAAGAAAACACTAACAAGTCAGCAGATGTCCATGCCCTGTCGAGTATGCTAACACACATTAATGACACAATAGACGATGACATTTTATGGAAAATCGTAAATGGTTGTATGAATCTTGTAAAAGAGAGGCCAGAGTTGCTGAGCCAAGGTGGTATATATCAAACGCAGGACGTTCGACAACTTACAATAGAAGACGAAAAAGAACGACATGAGTTTTCACAGTTTATTGAAACAATGATGGAGTTGGATGAAGTAGATGAGCGCATCGCAAAAGCAGCATTTCAAGCGAGTGAGGGAGACATAGAAAGAGGACATGCATGGTGCCTGACATGTAATGAAACACAGCTTCAGGAGATGCTCACCGAGTTTTGTAAATCTAAATTTGCTGACATAGACGATTTGAATACTGGGTCACCTTTACAGGATGCAACGAGTGACATATCATCGGAAAAAGTCTATACGAGGTGAATATAATTGTGCTAAGATCTGTCATTTGTAAGTGATTTTATTCTTTTCGTAATTCAGAATTGTTATCATATCTGATTACATTGCAGTCTATTGGTTAAAAGTCTGTCAGCGTTCTGGAGTAAGAACATTAACACACATCAGGGCCAAGTTAGTCTTGAATTTCTTGGAATGGTATTAGCTGAATTATGCTCTGAAGGTAGGATGTAGTACATGATGTATCATGTATAGCTAGCTGCCTTGGAATTATAGAAATAGTTTATTCATCTTGATCGGAATGTGTTCACACTTTAGCGTGCTGACGCTATTTTGGTTTTCCGTGGAAGCTTTCAGCGGTCTGTGAGGTGAATAAGAGAACTATTATTTGATGCGCACATTAGACTATTATTCTTAATTATGAAATGGCTTTTCACTTATATTAGATATTGTTAGAGCAAACTTCTCATATGTGATATATTTAAATAACTGAGTTATACATTTGTGAGCTTATTTTTCTCCTAATCACAGCTGTCACACTCGAGGGGTATGACGTTTTTCATAACATCATCCCTGGTATACCAAATTCGTGCAGTGTCACTGAAAGTAAGTGTTTTCTGTTTATCTATTTAAAGAAATATAACAATTTATGATGTTCGTTTTCCCTCGGTGTATTATGTATCATTTATATTATACGTATTTTCGTTTAAAGTATTCGTAAATTTACTTCAAATATTTGTATTAAACGGCGATGGTGCCTTGTTTTACTGTTATTTTAGACGATGTGCTAAATACACTATTATCGTTATACACCACAAATGGAAAAGTCTACTTTCCTAATCGAGACCAAATCCTGTTATGTAATGAGAAAACAACTAAAGAAGAGGTAAGATGCATATGTGTACGTGTTTATTCACCTTTTATGAGAGTATAATTATTTACAAATTCATGGTAATCGTAACGTATTTTTATATCATGTAGGTTACACTTTTCTTAAGACGGTGTATCAGAAGTCAAGTAAAAAAACGACTGTATTCTCTTGTCTATGCCGACCGCCTACCATTCGATATTGCAGATGACGCAATTAGTGAATTACGTAGTCTCTGCACGGAATCCAAAGGTATTGTCATGTATGACTTGTTGAAAACAAGCTATTAATTCACTGCATCTGGTTATATGCTATCATTTTATACAAATACCATAATATATAGGATAAATATTATTCTCTTTGGTAACATGTCGTTCAATATTGTATTTCATATCAGATTATAAACTGGTTATAATATCAGCTGAAGAGTATGGATCAAGTGCTATGTCTATCGCATTTCATAAGTATCGCATCGAACCTCCAACCATTGAATTGGATGTTCTCAGGAAAAACGTTAATGAATTTCTACACAGCATGGATTCAGAATCAGTCGGTCAGGTGATAGACCCTGACAGGTAATAATTTGTCTTCTTCAAATCGAGTACAGCGGGGTGTAACTGCAGCTGGTAATGAATAATTGTATTCATACTGACAATTATATTGTCTTATTTCAGGCGTTGTTTGCGAATTGTGACATCCTCTAGCCCAGGTCTTGGCAAAACTCTTGCAATTCACCGACTTCTGGAGAACTACTGTTTGAAGAGAAACTATGAATTATCCGATGTATATTTGAAAATACCAATTAATACAACCTTCATTGATCTAAACAGCATTTCAAGTTCATTGGTGAAACATGTTAAAAATCACGGTTACCAGGCAACGCCTATGATTTATCATTTCGATATTTCAGCATCTGTAAGTCTTCTTTTTCACTGCATCATCCATCGCTATAATAATAGTATAGAACTGTATAAATAAATGAACTGCGTTCATTTGACCAGAAAAAAATGTGTTGGTATATACGTGTTTGGGAATTTCTTGGGAAACACATATGTAACTGTTTTGAAAACAGACAATATTTTGTCAAATATTATAGAATAATTATGACTCCTATATGCTTGATTTAAACTGAATAACCTCACTAAATATTGATAAAGAATCCCTCTCAAACGACGGCAAAATGTGTGACGGCCTATAAAATATACTTTGTGAACTTTTTTACTTTATATAACATTTCATAGGTGGAGACTGGTATTGAGGAATTTATTTTCATGATTTCTATATTGCGGGAGATACAGTGTCAAAACGTACATATATGGAGGCGCAGACAGTCCGATCTATGTTTGTTCGAAACCACTCAAAGAAACATACAGGTAATGAACAAATAATCTTTTTTGATGAAGTTGCCTGTTGAGTATTTACTGTTTGACGTAAACATGTATTTGCGATGTTGGTAATATTCTCCTTACAGGACTCGACAGTACAAGACATTCTGTTCAGCTCCATATTACCCAGAAGCTTTTGCATATCACCACAAGATAATGTAGACGGACAAGTAATAGAAGGTAAACAATAAATATTTGTTACCTCGCTTGGTATATTGTATCATATTCCTAAAAAATAATGACAAGTTAAGTGAACCCTTATTATTTTGTAATCAAAATACGACAATTAACTTTTCGATTTTAACATTGTGTAATTCGTTTGTCAATATAATTTCTGAATTTTCTTGTCAAGTTCAATTGTTTATAGTTTTTTCTAAAAAATAAATGTGTAAAATGTTTAGAACGCAACGTTTATTGTCGTGTTTTGCATATAAAAACTGATTAATATGACTTTCACAATTTTTGACGAGTATGTACATCATGTTTTGATAATCATAGTTGCACACTTGCTAGTTGTGTACTGGTAGGTTGTTTCATTTATCTAGGTAGAATGACTGAATTTATTGTTTCAAATTGTCTACTACTGCAGAACGAGCACTATGAATATCTTTTTCGAGGCTATATTATCCAAGGTTGATTCTTCATCTTAGATGCATTGACTTACGGGTATAGATTTAAACGAATTAGAGGGTAGTCAAGCATAATGTTTGTCAGTGTCATCGGTTCAAGTTTGTATCGTGCTTTGGTCGTTTAAACTAAAAAAGAGGAGCTCTCATTCAAACGTGCTGGGTGTCAATTTCGTCACTCATACTCAAGATATTCAAATGCAAGAATGAAGGCGATTCATATCACTGTTATATCCTTTCTTCAATAATTGATTTTCCTGAGGGGACAGAAGTACCAATCCAATTTGTTCTATTATATGTAGGTGGGCCTAACATTGGTTTTGATGACAAAACATTCCACAGTGAACCCATTCAAAGAGTGTACCATCATCTTAAAATCTATAATACGAAGAAGGAAGAGCTCAAACATTATGAATTCAATCTCTCAAAGACCAGAGTTGGTGATAAAAAAGACTGCATGGAAGTACTTATCAAGTAAGTAAATATGTTTAGCATGTTTACATATAGCCCATTTGATTTTGGTAC